TGAGCCCATCACCAGAGAGGACCATCCACAGATTGAACACCTGAGCCCATCACCAGAGAGGACCATCCACAGCTTGAACACCTGAGCCCATCACCAGAGAGGACCATCCACAGCTTGAACACCTGAGCCCATCACCAGAGAGGACCATCCACAGCTTGAACACCTGAGCCCATCACCAGAGAGGACCATCCACAGCTTGAACACCTGAGCCCATCACCAGAGACAGTCGCACCTGCTGAAAGTTAACGCCTCCTATTACAACTCGCTCCACTTGTTTGCGCATATTGCAGGAGGATACAGTTTGGCAGCGCGAGGCTGTATCGCGGTTAGCGAACGGAGAATTGAGTCTTCACCTTCCTAGCGCTGAATGACTATTACTATTATTATTATTATTATTATTATTATTGTTATTAATTGCGCAGTAGAAAACACGTAAGGGTAACAAGTTTAAGCCGTTGACTTGTACAGTTTGCATTATCCATTGTTGACATTATATCCTCTCTCTCTCTCTCTCTCTCTTACAACACAAACTCAACTATTTCAGGAAAACAGCTTTTTGTGTATGATACGACAAAAAATTAATAATGAGAGGAAGACAAAGAAGACACTGCACTTATATACTCAACAAGTAATATTCTGAGCAGTAACTCAAGAGTAAGAGACTCCTCAAGGCGGGATCCTGCTGTCTAAGCAGTAACTCAAGAGAGGACCATCCACAGCTTGAACACCTGAGCCCATCACCAGAGACAGTCGCACCTGCTGAAAGTTAACGCCTCCTATTACAACTCGCTCCACTTGTTTGCGCATATTGCAGGAGGATACAATTTGGCAGCGCGAGGCTGTATCGCGGTTAGCGAACGGAGAATTGAGTCTTCACCTTCCTAGCGCTGAATGACTATTACTATTATTATTATTATTATTATTATTATTGTTGTTATTAATTGCGTAGTAGAAAACACGTAAGGGTAACAAGTTTAAGCCGTTGACTTGTACAGTTTGCATTATCCATTGTTGACATTATATCCTCTCTCTCTCTCTCTCTCTCTCTGTCTTACAACACAAACTCAACTAATTCAGGAAAACAGCTTTTTGTGTATGATACGACAAAAAATTAATAATGAGAGGAAGACAAAGAAGAAACTGCAGCTTATAATCTCAACAAGTAATATTCTGAGCAGTAACTCAAGAGTAAGAGACTCCTCAAGGCGGGATCCTGCTGTCTAAGCAGTAACTCAAGAGTAAGGAACTCCTGAAGGCAGGATCCTGCTGAAGGTAGGATTCTGATCAGTAACTCAATACTGAGGGACTCCTCGAGGCTGAAGAGTTCCTCATCCAAGGAAATGTATCCAGCAACGTTTTAAAACTGGAGGGGAAGAGGAGAAGCGCTCAAAATAATCTCGAGTCTCTTCTTCTCTCCATCTTTTTTTCTCCTACTCTTCCCCCTCCTCCTTCCTTCTTCTCCTCCTCCCCTCCTTCTTCCTTTTCCTCCTCCTCCTTCTTCTTCTTCGATTTCGAAATTCCATCTTATACATTGTAATTTGTATTATTAGGTAAAAAAATACAAATAAGTAATTTAAATTTGTGATGTTTATAACAGGAATGAATGGTGAGGAGGTGGACTGCCTCACACTAAGTGATGTGTAGAAGTGCTAAATCTATAGAGGTGATGGGAATGGGAGAGCTTTGAGCCAGGGATGGGCAAGACAGCTTCATGAAGCTCACATTCACTTTTTTTTTTGCCCTTTTGAATTTACAGGCTACGAGCTGTTATTCTGCCTCAGCTCATTCACAGGCTACGAGCTGTTATTCTGCCTCAGCTCATTCACAGGCTACGAGCTGTTATTCTGCCTCAGCTCATTCACAGGCTACGAGCTGTTATTCTGCCTCAGCTCATTCACAGGCTACGAGCTGTTATTCTGCCTCAGCTCATTCACAGGCTACGAACTGTTATTCTGCCTCAGCTCATTTCAAAACTCAGCTCTCTATGAGGTACACTGCCACTGCTACAACAGTCTTCCTTTCCAGGGACATATCTATTGTTAGGCAGATATGGGCAGCAGGTGTGGGGAGGCGCCCCCTACGTCTCACCTTGACAGTCGACTAACACCTAGGTACATATTTACTGCTAGGTGAAGAAGGCCAGCAAGTATAAGGAAATTTACCTCTACGTTTCCATCGAACGCGAGCTGTGACCCACAACGGTCAACTAACACCAGGTTCCTATTTACAGCTAGGTGAACAGGGTAAGTAGGTGTAAGCAGACCTGTACCTATGTCTAAACACGGGTAAGCTGTGACTCTGCAACGGTCAACTAATATTCAGGTACCTATTTACAGCTAGGTGAACAGGGGCAGCATGTGTCAGCAGACCTGCTCCAACTCCTCCACCGCCCTGGATGTCTCCAGTAAAACTGTACCATGCTAACTGCCTTCGCTGTATCAAATTGAAAGGCAGTTTATATGTCATTCAGTTGTTTCCAGACACATAAATGTAGCAGTAAATATCGTATCAAGTTTTATTATCCAAATTCCACAAAACTGTTTAACAGAAAGCTGAGACGGGAACGTTATTACCCAGTCGACTGGAAGTTGCCAAGCACAATTCTGGGTATTTTTTAGCGAAGTTTTATAACTGTTATGCTGTTTGACTGGATAAGAAGCATATTTACGTTCTAATGTATGTGTGTCGACATACACACACACATACACGCACTACTGTGAGAGAAACCATGGAAGCCAGGATCAGTGTGGTAGTATGGCCAGTATAACTTGTTGTAAAAAGCTCACACATTACTACGACCGTCGCTGCCTAGGGTAGTAAATATCACTTTATTACCCACACATATAATGCAATTCAGTTCAAGAACCTTAGGTAAAAAAAAAAAAACTTGGTGTATGTTAAGGTTGGGTATATGAAACGTCTAAGCTTCGAGAAATTTATAAATTTCTCCACTCGTTTTGGAGGAAAAACTGGGCCTTACACATCAACCTTTTTTATGAATGAATTAAGAGAGACAAAGCTGTTTTCAGCGAGCAAGAGCGCTACAAGTAACGTCAGGTAAACACCGCCATTAAGATGGTTATTGCTTGTCTTTGGGCGAGACTTCCGGACCTAGGGCATGGCTTCCAGCCGCTGCTGGAGGTTGGTGAAAGACTCGCCCGGAGACAAACCGGAGGTGCGCTCCCTTCCCTTGTATCAAACCTGTTTACCTCCCATTCCCCAGGCGCTGTATGACTACGGGCTTAAGATAAGCAATAACAGCAACAACAACAATAATAATGCAATAACTAATAATAATAATAATAATAATAATAATAATAATAACAACTCAAAACATTCTCAGTTTTTTCCTTTACCTGCAACGATACTTCTTTTTTTTTGTAGTATCGTCCGTAAATATTATTTTTTGTTAAGAAAGTTGTTATCAGCAACGCATGGCTGGACCTGTAATTTTTGCCCTGATACAAGATCCTCAAACATGAGAATACTGGGTAAATATTCGTTTGTCTTCCCTTCACTGTGTGTAATATTCTTGAAGTACTAGTAAGTGGCATGTTAGAAGTTAACTTAGTAGAAGGAAAAAAAGGGGGTATATTTTCTTTAATTACGGCCCCGTCGAACCAGAAAGCAAGATCAAGAAATTATTATGTAAAAAGATTAAAAAAGCATCGCACAGCATGGGCTGAATGAGTGAAAATTCCTTATTTTTTCCGTTTTTTGGCAAGCCTGTGCACAATAGCATGTATACATTCACTACTTTTCTTACCACATGTTCCCTCTGTCAAGAAAAGGGTTCTTCTCCGCGCCCTCCACATGGGCTGCAGACATGTGGTAATGGTCCACCTCGGATCGAAGCATCGTTATAAGTCGCATTCTCCTAAGTGCGAGCTATTTGGGGATGTGGTATTGAATGCTGTCAGCCTGAGCTGGGAAACTTCAGCTGGTTGATCAGAATATCGTTTTTTTTTTTTTCACTACGGGCTCACCAACTACGACGTACTGAAACATTGCCATTGATCAGACCTGGAGTCACTATCACTTGGAAAACATAATCTCTTAGGCGAGTATATCACGTACAGGGAGTGAGAGTAGAACTCATAACGATACTAACAATATGAATGAAGAGACACAAGATATACACTTATGACAACATTAATAGAAACTTTTGAGTCCTTAGACCTTGGGATACAAGAGAACGATATAATGCAGTATTGGTTCCGGCAACACAAAAGAGCATGTAAACAATACGACGCCGTGGTCTGAAGAGGGTCGTCTCATGAACTGGAACAAATCAGAACTGATCTGCAGAGAACCGAACATTTATAGGCGCCACTGTATTGAAGGAAAAAAAATCTGGAAAGTACGCCATCTCAACTATCCTTGTACATATGATATTACTCCATGATAATTCCTTGCTAACTACAAGACACGACAGCTATTCGATGACCTGGCTCCTTCGCCTGATCTTCACCAGTGGTTTATCAACCACTATTACTACTCCCTCCTCCCGTTTTACAATTCCTTTTCTCCCGCCCCCTCACGAATATATTCTGGTCTCCTTACCTTCTAACTCCAATGTGACTTGTCAATGGTCCAAGTAGGACCTAATTATCATAAGTTTTAATCTCCTAAGTGCTGGTTATTTGTGTATTGTTTTAGATGCGGTATTTAGTGCGTATTTAGTGTATTAATGTTCTTTCATTAATATAGGGAATGCGCATTGTGTATATAGACATACATACGATAAGTAAACCTTTCCTAGATCGCTCCTCAAAAAGTGACGGACCATATTAGGACGACTGCACTGCAAGTAAGGTTACTTTATGAATGACAATAAGGAAAGATTTGGCAGAATTTGGTTGGACTCTGGAAGGAGAGAGAGGGAGGGAAGGAGTGAGGGAGAGGGGAGGAGAAGGGGATGGAAGGAGGGAGGTCTCGTTCTGGGGAAGGGGAGGAGCAGTATTGTGAGTGTTGGTGTGTGTGTGTGTGAGGTTAGTCAAGGGCTGGTCCCTCCGCGGTGTGCAGTGTACTCAGTGTCAGTCCGTCCGTCCAATCGCCTCACTGCACCGTCTTGTGTCCCCTTGCAATACACGCCGTGTATCGCCTCTAACACACGCACTATGATACCTCCAAGCCACACTATGAGCAAGTTAGTGGGCAGAAATAACTTACTCTGCAATAAAAGAAATAGTTCTCGTCTTTTATCAGTTTTTTATTATTCATGTTTGTTGATTCTCAGTTATGATCGAGAAACTGTCTTCAGAGTGAATTGCAGTTACTTGTAAACAAAGCGTTTTCCTCTCCTCGGGGCTGGAGGAAAATCTAGAACAGTTCTGAGGGAACGTGCAACAGTAGGTATATTTTTTGACCGGCTACTTTGCACCCAAGAACAACCTGTTGCTAGCGAGATGCACGGGAAGGGGAGGGGGAGGGGGAGCAACAACTCCCAAACTAAAAATAGTTTTATCGAGGCAGCAAAGTCCTGGCTGGAGAGGGAAGGTTGGACTCTTAACTCTCTTTGAAACATACACTCAAAAAACAGTTACCCCTACTAGTTCACTCCTTCCCAGTTCAACCACACTCACTCACCTCTAGGAAGCTAATTGTGTGTAGTGCTGAAGTCGTGGGTGCTAGTTATGGGTGATAACGATCAGGTATTGGCTGCGTCGCACAAGTGGACAGACATTTTTTAGGTGACAGGTACGAGAGGCGGAGATAGTGGTTTCGTTAATTAATAATACTTTTGACGTTAAAACGACAACGCCTCTTCGTGCAGAGATAATGGCGTTGTTGACAGTGCAGTATTCTTTGGGAAAAACTCTTGGGATTAGGACACATATAGCAGAAGCCGTCATGGCCCTTAAAACCAACAACCAATACCGTGTCACTTTTTTTTGTCATTTGAAAACCCATTCTATGATGCCACTGGCCCTATGGTAGGGTTGCGGCAAGAAACAATGGCTGTAGACGGTGGTGTCTACGGACGTAATTGCGAATATGGTAGCCGTTGGTCCTGGGGTGGACCGCGGCAAAGCAACCACTAGCTTACCGGACGGGACTCAGTGGTGGTGTAAACAATGAATTAATAGTGACACATTTGCTGTGCTATTTCCAGTAAGTATATCAACTTAACCTTCCATTACTAGTGACGCTCGACGCTCAGCTTCCTTGACAGACCTACACATGCATCAGACTGAGAAACAAAAACTAGGGAGGAAGAATTTAGAGATCAGACTTCACAACACTACTAAAGGAACAAGACAAACATTGCAGTAAACTGAATGGCCAATGCATGATATATATATATATATATATTTATATATATATATATATATATATATATATAATATATATATATATATATATATATATATATATATATATATATATATATATATATATAAAGCTATTTTAAGACATACCTAATTACTTTAGTGACGTTAATTGCAATTCGTTCTAATTACATACTATTCTTATTGCTATTCCATTGTTTGTGTATGTACTCGAAATCTATGTTTGCCTTTTAAGAATTCCCTTTCAAAGAGTTCTATCCTTTGTAATATTTTCAGCACCTTATGTCACCTCTTTATACTTTCTACCACTTGAAGGCTAAACTCATCCATTATGTTGTGTCTTTCAAACATCTGAAAACTTTAATCATTCATTATTCTACGTCTTTCAAAAACTGTGATGTTAGGGACAAAATTTGCATATCTTCGTTTTGTGTTTTCCAAAGGATTTGTAGTACATTTAGTAGTATAGTGACCAATGTTGTGTAATATGATTTATATGAATTCTCACAAGAGCAAGTTAAAGCTGATGAATAACGCAGGTTGATGAATTAGACACATGTGTAACATCTGGGTATCTTTATTTGTAGACGTGTCGCCATCTAGTGGCTTTATCATTACAAATTCTAGAACATAATGGAAAGACTGTAGAACTATATGCAAAAGACGAGGTAATCAGTCCCTCAGCCTTGAAGTTGGTGAAGACTACAGTGCATGACTGGCTCGTGGCCTGGTAGGCAAAGCTCTCGCTTTACAGGCTGAGGGTCCGGGTTCGATTCCCGGCAAGGGTGGAAGTATCGGTCGTGTTTCCTTATACCTGTTGTCCATGTTCACCCATCAGTAAAATGGGTACCCGGGTGTTAGTCGGCTGGTGTGGGTCGCATTCTGGGACAAAATTCACCTAATTTACCCGAAATGCTTTGTATTACAAGGGGCTTTCTGTATAGTAGTATGTCACTGATGTCAGCTATGGTCTGTGTACCTTGTACATGTACTTGTAGACCTAAAGATATAATGTTATATTATTATTATTATTATTATTATTATTATTATTATTATTATTATTATTATTATTATTATTATTATTAACTTCAAGTCTGAGGGACTAATTGTCTCGTCTTTTATATATAGTTCTAGTCTTTCCATTATGTCTTTGTATTGTATTGATAAAGCCACTGGATGGAGAAACGTCTACAGATCAAAATACCCAGATGTTGCCCATGTATCGAATTTTTCATCTTGTCGGTATTGTATACCATTCATGTACAACATAACGTTAATTATCCTTCAGTTTCACTGACAGATGTTAAACCATACCCCCGGCCGGGATTGAACCCGCGGTCATAGAGTCTCAAAACTCCAGCCCGTCGCGCTACCCCCGGCCGGGGGTATGGTTTATTTGCAATCGTGTCATTACGATTTCTTAAGTCATGTTGACAGATGTTAATAACGTTTCTGAATCATCACTTACAAATCACTTCCTCAGTCGCATTTTAACAGTATTTCAGTTAGTGATTTGATATCTATAATCATGTCATTGCCCCGGGCTTAGAAATTTGCATGTGTTGTTATTAGCCTGTACCTACCACTTCTATCGTATTACATATATCCACTTATAGGTCTGAATACTGTTAAAGTCCTCTTGGAGGATTGAATACTGTTAAGATCCAAAATCTTGATAAGATTCCTTTAGAGTCTCCTGAGCCCTATTACCATCCTCCTGAAGCTTACTGAATCCTATCGAGATCTTCTCTAGAGTTCCGTAATTCCTATTGAGATCCCTTTGGAGCTCCCTGAAAGCTATTAAGATTCTCTCGGAGTTCCTTCAATCCCATTAACATCCTCCTGGGACTTACTAAATGCTATTAAAATCCCACTGAAGTTCTCTAAATTCAATTAAGATCTTCCTGGATTATCCTAGCTCAGGTAGTATCCAATCCCATGAATATATAACAGTGGGTGAGCGCTAAGGGAGAAGTCGAACAGCAACTTGCAACTCCGGAAACAGGACACGTTATCAGTCATATCTTAAACACAAGTGTCTTACTCTCTGTGGGATTATATACAGGCCTGGTTGACCAGGCAGTCGGCAATACAATCTGGCCTCATGATTTTTGTATTCATGGGAGAGTGCTCTGTGTGGGACTAATTCCTCGATCCTATGTCCGCTAATCGCGATCTGCTCTCTGACCAGGAAGGTTGTTGGTGAGAGCAAACAACAGAGCAGTACCATGTTGATGGTGTGGTTGGTTTACGGACATCAACCCCCACGGCCCAGTGCATGACTAGGCCTCCCGGTATATCAGGGCCTGATCAACCAGGCTGTTACTGCTGGCCGCACGCAAACCGACGTACGAACCACAGCTCAGCTGGTCAGGTACTTTCTTTAGGTATCTGTCCAGTATAAGTTCGGCTCCCTTTCCTAATAATTGATTTTATAATCAAACGATTGTGAATTTCCAAAGTATAATATATAAGACAGCAGCAAATGCGTAATTAATAATTCGGTTTAAATCTTAGGTCACTGTGAACAGTGAATTATGAAGGTTTCTTCTCTCTGCTTGCTCATTCCCGACTTGATAACGGTTCAGGACGAACCGAAACGTTGTCTAGCGCTTCGTCCTCAAACTGTGGGATAATTGTGAAGAAGTAATTTATTAAAGGGTGAGGTGACCTGAGGCTGGACACGCTACCAGTGACTCTGATCTGAGTCAACAAGCTGAACGTCATCTTACCCAAGTCTCACACACACACACAGACACACACACACACACACACACACACACACACACACACACACACACACACACACACACATATCTTCGTGCCTGTGGTGCTTGGTGTTGTATTTATCAGAGCACGTATCAAAGAATGCTTTAAAAGAAATGCAGGAGGAAGGCGGATGAGCCAGAGGGAAGCCAATAGACTAAATTAAATGGAATTTTTTTATTGATGCAAAAGAGGAGAATATTGTTGGAAAAGTTTATGATACTCCATAAAAGCTGGAATGAAAAAGGTTATTGAGTTTTATGGCGACCTTAAATGGCATGAAGATGCGAATCTTTGTGTGTATGTGTGTACTCATACATTTGTGGGTGCAGGGGTTGATTCATAGTTCCTGGCCCCGCCTCTCTCCCTTCTCCATGAGCTTTATTGTGTGTGTGTGTGTGTGTGTGTGTGTGTGTGTGTGTGTGTGTGTGTGTGTGTGTGTGTGTGTAGTCAGATCCCCACAACTTCCTCATCCACCTTGCTCAACTTCTCTGTCACTTCAGGACTTAAGAAGTATTGCCTAAGGTCATTACGGTTCATTTGGTTAAGTTTCCACCCACGTACCTTCACAACCTCTGGCAGGTACATCGTTTACCGTATACATCAACGCTGGTACATCAAAGACGAGACAGTCACTCGGAAGCTCATGGCTACTTCCGAAATGAAGAGATCACGATCTTCCAAGGACTCAACCGAGGATTCGGTTTGGTAATGTGGGGCGCAGTTTTGGCGAAGAAACTGCGAGACCAACCACTGGACTCCCTGGGGTCCTGGAACAGCGATACAAGTGAAATCTGCCTGGCCAGTGAGATATATATGGATGAAGAAATGTCCATCCCTACCACAGAAATACCGTATGGCGAAGGTTGGCAGGAAGTACGATCTTCGAAATACAAGGGAAGGTACAATGTTACCCTGCAGACCAGTCAAACTAAACCATCAGTAGGCAACAGATTTAGACTCATCAACAAAGGACACCATGACACCCCGTATGGTGCTATAATTCATCTGGAGAGAAAATACGGCCTGAAGATATCAGTGTCCCTAAACTTGAAAGTAGAGTTTATTCTCACTCCCTGAAACACAGAGTCCTATGACGGTGAATGACCTCGAATCACCACTCGTTCTCACAGAACTAAAATCCATAGAGCGGGTGACAAAAGGCGTATTAAAAACCTAGACATGGCTCTCGATGCAATTCACAGTAACAAAAACATCCTGAAAGCTGAGCATCTATGAGCCAAGAAGGACGGCGACATACCTACGAGGAAGATCTTGAACCAACAGAGCCTCTCCCAGCTGAAGTAGATCTCGGTTGCTGGGGAATATACCCAGTTAGGGTGTATAACCCAGAGCCTCTGAGGTGCTTCAGATGCCAGAGGTAAAACCAACTCAGCGCCCGATGTCAATTTAAAGAAGTATGCGATGTCTTTAGCGGGTCTCATCCGACCAAGGACTGCTTGAGTAAATTGAAGAGAGGTGAAGTTACGGAACCTTGGTGTACAAATTGCGGCAAGAAACATCATTTTTGGAACCTGCAGTACCCGGAGAAGTTCCGCCGTGTCAAAGTAGCATGGAAAACTCCAGCTGTCCAGCCTCCAACGCCAAGTAGATCCCTCATCAATAGGCAGCAGTGCCACTTCCCCGACCACAGCGACGAAGGAAACATCAGCGACGGGGTCGCGGCCTTCCTCAGCCAGCTTGCGATCCTCCCGCTCAAACTCCCACCCAACAACGGCAGTCAGTAGGCCACATGCTGCAGGAACAGACAACGCGTCGACTTTAGCACCACAACAGTCAATAGTGAGGAGCACTATAACCCAAGAAAGCATTGCAGGAGATTACGTATTACCCCTGAGCGATCAAATGATGTCGACTATCACGTGCTTCACCGATGTCATATGCGACCTGACGGAAAACAAGGAGACAATCAAAACTACTGTGAAGACCTTTATTAACATATCCATGATGGACAAAACAGAATCCATGCGTCTCACACCTCAGTCCTCACATCCCTCACTTAATTCCTCCTCTACGCTGTTCTTCACTCGGTTT